GGGGTGAGCGCGGAGGCTCCGGTGCCCTGGTGAGTGCGGGGCTGGCCGAGCTGGGCCGGGGGTGATGCGGGAGTGATGCGGAGCCGCCGGAGCTGCCGCCGCTTTGTGTCGCAGGGACGGGGCCGTGGCCGATTACCGGGACGCTCCGCGGGACAGCGGGAACCGCGCGGTGAGAGCGGGTCCCGCATCGCTCCCTGCCCCGCGGAGGGACGAGGGGAAGCGCCCCGTGACCCCCCGTGACCCCCCGTGCCGGGTTTTTGTCCTGCATCGCTCCCTGCCCCGGGGAGGGGCGATGGGAAGCGCCCCATAGCCCCCCGTGACCCCCCGTGCCGGGTTTTTGTCCCACAGGGAGACGCTGCCTGTGACAGGAAGGGGGGTCCCGGCGCTGCGGTGCCAGGTGGGTGCCCGGGGGGTGGGTTTGGGTTTGGGTCAGAGGTCCCAGAAGGTCCCCTGTGCCAGGGGGCTGCTGTGGGACGCCCTGACAGCAACGAGGAGAAGGGAAGCAGTGGGGTAAGACGGCTTTGCTTGCACACGGGCGGGTCAGGGAGCAGCAAAAAAACCTCCACAAAACCTGATTTCTCTCTCGGGGGGAGGCTCGGAGCTGAAAGGACCTTTGCTCTTCCCAGCAGGAGCAGCTCCCACAGGGCCCCAGGACCCCCCCTCGGTGAGGCTCTGGTCCGATTACCTGAACGTGCCCCTGCACCCCCGGAGCGTCCACGTGATCCGGCAGTACCTGCACGATGGGTAAGGCCCGGCTCTGCCCCGGGAGCCTCCTGTCTCGTCCAGAACAGCAGCCGAGTTGTGCCTTCAGGGAGGAATTCAGAGGGCTTGGGATAAGCTCTTTCCCACCCGTTTCTTCCCACAGGGACTGTGGTTGCCTGGAAGCCTTTGCACAAGGGGAAAGTCTCCTGCAGGACCCCGCCTGCGTGGAGGAGCTGGAGGATCGGCTGCACTTCTTTGTTGAGGAGTGTGATTACCTGCAGGTTCACAGCCCAGGCCGAGCTCCCTTTGCTCTCGAGAAGCCTCCTGCTCAAGGTGAGGTGGTATCTGAGGTGCTGCTCTCGTTCCACACAGGGGTTCCAGGTCCTCTGTGACCTCCACAACGGGTTCTCGGGGGTTGGTGCCAAGGTGACAGAGCTGCTCCACGACGAGTACTCGGGGAAGGGAATCCTCTCCTGGGGCCTCACTCCGGCCACGAGTGACGTGGGGGTAAGTGAACCCCAAACCCCGGGGAGAACCAAACCCTGGGGCTCGTCTGCACCTTTAGGATTCCAAAGGTTGGATTGTTTTTCCCCCCCTCCCAGGATCCCCAGAGCAGTTTTTACAGGCTGCTGAACACGGCCCTTGGCATCGTCCACCTCTCCCAGCACAGCTCCCTCTTCTGCCCTCTGTCCCTCAGCGGGAGTTTGGGAATCAGGCCACGGCCTCCTGTGACATTTCCATACATAAAGTACGATGTAAGTCCTGCTCGTGCAGCTTCACCCCCTCCAAGTGTTTCCTGCAGCCCTCTGCTTTTAGTGCTGCTTTTCCATGGTGCTCAGCACAGACTCTTTCCTGCCTTTTCACTGGGACTTGGCTTCCAACTTGTCATTTCCACAGCTTTTCCCTACTTTTGGAAACATTACCACGCTTCCTTGGCTGCTGTGCTTTGTCAGTGTGTTGGCACTGAAAAAAAGGCTTTACTGCACCATTCTCCATGCCTGGAGTAACTCCAGGAGTTACTGGAGCCCCAGGAAGCTGCTGACAAGAAAACTGGCACCAGAGTATTTGTTAGGAAAGAGCTGACCTGGAATTACTGCTGAAAAACACTGGCTGCTTATCCCAAACCTGGAATAATTCTTACACACTGGCTGCTTATCCCAAACCTGGAATTACTGTTAAACACTACTTATTCAAACCCTAAAATCACTGTTACCCATTGGCTGCTTATCCTAAACCTGAACTGTTACACTGACTCCTTATCCCAAACCTGGAATAACTGTTAC